AATGTTAATTTCAAGGAATTTTTAAATTTAAATCCTTTCATCTTTAATTGAAATAAGATTTCAAAGTTCTTACTTTTACTTTTTTTTAATTTAAATTTTATCCTTAAAATATGAATTCAACTATTTTCAAAATTGCATCTGTGTGAATTTCATCCCCTTTATTTACATTATGTGTTATATTAGGTATGTTTATATTATTAACATTGTTTTATTTAGCTACTAAAATTTCTTAGATAATATACTTTCATCATGAATATCACAATTTTATTTATACTAATTTATTTATTTATAAGATTACTATTTATAGTAAAGAAGTAATCTATTGTAATATTTTATCATATTATATATTATATTTGCTAGTTAGATATGATTATATATATATATATTTATGATTAATATAATAGGTGTTGTTTAACTTCCTAATGTATTATGTACACATCAATCTATTAATGTGTAATTATATATCGCCATTTTGTAATTAAGTTGCACCTTATGTTTAATTATACTGAATAAAATGTCAATGAAAACTGATACCTATTTTAAATGAGTTATAGAAATAAATAAATATAAATAATGGTCCTACTTTCGTTAAAGTGGCGACGACGTGGATTCTAATATTCTAATTTAAACAAGTAAGAAAATAGTTATTAATTTTATAAATTATGCCTCAGTCCAAAAATACTAGTATAATTGATAAGTTAGAAAAATATCATATTAATGGGTCTATGCAACGTTGGTTCCAATTTTGGGACGCAACGTTAAGACTAAAGAACTGGACACCGACCGATCAAGAAAATAAGGACCTGTTCATGGTGAGTTTTGGCGCTGAGGGCATTGACATTCTCGAACAATATTTATTTCCTGAAACCATTCTAACAACTAAATTTGATAAGATAAGGAGTGTCTCGCTACATATTTTTGAGAAGAATAAAACCATTTTCGGTAGTAGATTAGACTTCATAAGGTTAATTAGGAATGAGAATGAACCAATTGGAGAGTTCACAAATAGAATCAAAATAACTGCGAAAGCGTGTTGTTTTACGCCGTCAGAAGTTGACGGCCGGTTAAGAGATCAATTAGTTGCGGGTATGGATCTACCAGGTCTCGAAGTTGAACTTAGGACTAAATATCATTTAGCATTGGATATGAACAAAAAGCCCCTGACGTTCCAGTTCGTGCTATATGGCCACGGCAACAGAAAATGCTCAAAACGAAATGACTATCAAGAAAGACATGATAAATAGAGTCAAACCGCAAGATTGCAAACATAAAATGCCTAATTCACAAGAGTGTGTTAAGAGAGACATTAATTATAGGAAGCCTAATAACAAGTTTTACGATAATAAATGTAAGAATTGTGCCGGCTGGCATGAAAGATATTTATGCCCAGCTAAAGACAAAACATGTTTTAAGTGCCAAAGAACCGGACATTTCGCAGCATGTTGCCTTAGTAAGCCTGTATATCGCAATTTAAACTCAGTGAAACCACATTTCCACTCAAGTGATTCAATTAATAATCTCTGTACAAGGGGATTAAATAAAAGGGCAAAGATCACAGCCAAAATAAATGGACTTAGTGTCACTTTTGATTATGATACAGGAGAACAAGCCTCTATTATAAGATTGAATATTTGGGAGAAAATTGGCAAACCACTGACATCTTCCACAAAAGATAAGCCTTTGGATCTTATGGGTGAAGCCACTCTGTTTGGGTTGCCATGGATTTTAGCATATGGGTTTGAGTTACCGAGACAGGTAAGCATACAACAGGTTTTGAAAACGAATAGAAAAACAATAACTTCAAGTTGCCACCAAACCAACGATGCCTCGATGGGCCGCTCGAATACAATCGGTGCCCCCGCGGGCCGAATCTCCGATGGGCCGTTCGAATACAATCGATGCTCACACGGATCGAGGATGTCACTAACGGAAGACGTAATGAAGCATTTGTTAGTTAACAGTTTAAAGATGTGTTTGACTGCAAACAGGGGTTGATACGTAATTTCACTGTGCGACTCCAATTAAAAGATACGGCTGTTACAAAATCGTTTCCAGCTCGTCGAGTGCCATTTCCATTACGCATAGCGGTTGAACTAGAACTTGACCTCCTTGTAGCTTTGGAGATTTTGGAGCCCATCGATTCCTCTATAACTAGGGTGCTATGGGCAACCCCAACAGTAAATGTCAGGAAAAACTATGGCGAGATTCGTATTTGCGCAGATTTCAAGGTGAGTTTAAATCCCCATCTATTATAGGATCATCACGTTATTCTTATGCTGGATGACTTATTGGTTAAGATTCAAGGGGGGAACCGTTTTACGGTGATAGATTTAAAGGACGCGTATCTACAAATGGCCGTTGAGCCAGAGTCCCAAGAATATTTAGTCATCTCAACACATAAAGGATATTTTCGATACCGAAGGATGCCGTTTGGGCTTTCGTGCGCACTAACTATTTTCCAGCGTTACATGGACAATGTTTTGAAAGATTGCCCGATGACTGGAGTGTATTTGGACAATGTAATTATCTCCGGCAAGACGCTGAACATCTGGCTAATTTAAAAATAGTACTCGATAGGCTGCAGGAAGCAGACCTCAAAGCTAAATTTGAAAAAGTCCAATTTCTACGGAAATCTGTTTCGTTTTTAGGTATCGTTATCGACCAAAATGGGGTACATCTAAGCGAAGAGAAAGTTAAAGCAATCCAGGCCGCACCTAACTCCAAGAATGTTCATCAGTTACGTTCATTTCTTGGGCTTGTCACGTATCATGAACGGTTCATTCCCAATCTTCATAGTGAAGCAGCTGTGTTACATCGATTGACTAGTGTAAAAGTACCATGGTGTTGGACTAATGTAGAGCAGGAGGCTTTCGATAAAGTTAAGACATTGTTATCAACAGAAGAAACCTTAACGCCATATAATGCTAAATTACCGTTGATTATGGAGTGTGACGCGTCAGATACAGGACTGGGGGCTGTTTTACTTCATAAGGTTTCACAAAACGGGGAAAAACCCATAGCATTTACGTCTCGGACGTTGTTACAGTCGGAGAAACATTATGCGCCTATCGATAAAGAAAGGGCATTGTTATTTGGAATAGAAAAATTCCACAACTTTATCTACGGTCGAAAATTTATACTTCGGACAGACCATAAACCCTTGGAACGGTTGTTCGGGGAAAAGAGGGATCTGCCAAAGATATCGAACAATCGTCTGACACGTTGGGCCTGGAAGATGGCCGCTTACGACTTTAGCGTGGAATATAGATCTGGTCGGGAAAATGTTATAGCAGACGCCTTATATAGGCTACCACTCCACGATATCATACCTAATCGGGATACCAAGCATGCATTGGCGATTCGGAACATAAACTTAGAGGATATGCAGGTCTCAGAGGGAAACCTGCGCAAGAATTTAATTAAAGATCCAATACTAAAGCGAGTGACACAACATATTGAGCAAGGGTGGAGAGGCTTTAATCGGAAAGAAGAACCGGAGCTAGTAATCTTTCACACCCAACGAGAGGAATTAACAGTAGACAGGGGAATAGTTGAACGAAATGGTAGATTGATAATCCCTACGAAGTTTAAACTACATCGGGGACATCCGGGAATGAACGCAATGAAATCTATTTTTCGATTGTATTGTTGGTGGCCGAAATGCGAAGAGGACATAGAACGGTATATAAAGCTGTGTGTTGGATGTCAGAAAAATCGACCGAACGTAATGGAGTTACCACTATACTCATGGAATTGTACCAAAGAGCCATGGGAACGTATACATCTAGATTTTACGGGACCGGTTGACTCTTTATATTTGCTAGTGGGAGTAGATTCATACTCAAAATAAGCTGAGATAGACCTGATGAGAAACACATCGGCGAAGGAGATGATAACGAGATTAAAGAAGTGGTTTGCTACCTTTGGGGTACCTAAAAGCATTGTAACGGATAATGGACCTCAATTCATTTCAATAGAATTTAAGCGATTTTGTGAAGAAAACAACATTTGCCACAATCGCTCAACGCCGTACCACCCGAAGACAAATGGGCAGGCGGAACGAACCATTCGAACCTTAAAAGGGAGGTATTATGCCAGTCGAGAATCAATTAATGACCCGCAAGAGGCGATAACTCAAACGGTAGCAGCGCATAGGCTGGGAGAACATAGTTCGACGGGTAGGTCACCAGCGGAGATTATGTTCGGGCGTCAAATAAGAACTAATCTAGACTGGGCTAGACCAGAGGTGGGAAAGGAGATTGATAAAGCCAATGATAAACAAAATCAAGAACATGATACACATTCCAATTTTAGGGAATTTGACGTTGGTCAGCATGTGTGGGTAAGGAATGAAACCGCTAAGGGTTGGAGAGAAGGGGTGATTCAGGATAGAAAGGGATTATATTTCTATGTAGTCAAGACCCCAGATAGTGTAATACGGAAAGATGCTGACCAGATAAGGGACCGTTTGATATCAGATACGACGTAGCGCGTGATCGCTGACAGCGATCTGAGAGATTGTGAGACCCCAAGGTGAGGGCGGACACATAAGCCCCCGAAACGAATGATTGAAGAGATATAGACATATCTCAATTAAAGTAGGGGGAAATGTAATAAAAAAGTAATCTATTGTAATAATTTATCATATTATATATTATATTTGCCAGTTAGATATGATTATATATATATATTTATGATTAATATAATAGGTGTTGTTTAACTTCCTAATGTATTATGTACACATCAATCTATTAACGTGTAATTATATATCGCCATTTTGTAATTAAGTTGCACCTTATGTTTAATTATACTGAATAAAATGTCAATGAAAACTGATACCTATTGTAAATGAGTTATAGAAATAAATAAATATAAATAATGGTTCTACTTTCGTTAAACTATTAGAGTCATTATAATATTCTTTTATGATTTATTCATGTGATCGCATAGGTTTTATATTAATCTGCATCTATCATGCCTATGAATATTTCAAGTATATTTTCAAAATGTTTTAACATGATCTTCCTAACAAAGACATTTTATTATTGTTTATGATTAACGCGTTCAAAATTTGAGAATTCCCTTTGTATTCTACATTCACTTGTGCTGTACCTATCACTTGTATCATCTTGCCATTGTAACCTGATAACTTTATGATGGACTTCATAATATTTTTAATGCCTATTTTCTCAATCATGTATTCTTGTAGAATTAAATCTCATGCCAGTATCTACTTGTATTGATTTGAGACGTTGTTGATTTTGATGTTTATTATGTATGCAACATCTTTATAATTTTGAACCTCGTTTTCTATGTTATTTATGTCAATATTTAATAAATTGTAATCTGTCGTGATATAATTTTTCTGTCCTCGACCTCTTCTATATTAATTGTATTGATCTTATTTAAATAAGGCGCTTGGTGTCTAGGATTATGAGCCATGGTTTCTATTGTCATTTAAACTACTCATTATTTATTAATTAGCAGACCTCCGTTATTGAAGATTCACAAATTGTATTATTTCCTCATCCAATCCCCAGTTCTAGTGAGGCTACTTTACATGATGAGGTATTTAATTTAAATACGAATTATATAATAACATTTGAAGGGAATAAATTATGATTATGAGGATATTCAAATATTTCCAACATTTATTAAAAACTTAATTATAATGTAGTTAAGAATAAAATGACCATTTGGCTAAAATTTTATTAAAAATATAATTTTTCATAAGTAAACAAATTATAACTACTCTTTATTTATAGCAAATCTCCATTATTGAAGATTCACAAATTGTATTATCTCTTCATCCAATCCCCAGTTCCAGTGAAGGGCTTACTTTGCATGATGAGGTATTTAATTTAAATACGAATTATATAATAGCTTTTAAGGGAATAAATTAGGATTATGAGGGTATTCAAATATTTCCAAAATCTAGTAAAAACTTAATTATAATGTAATTAAGAATGAAATGACCATTTGGCTAAAATTTTATTAAAAATATAATTTTTCATAAGTAAACAAATTATAACTAATCTTTATTTATAGCAAATCTCCGTTATTGAAGATTCACAAATTGTATTATCTCTTCATCCAATCCTCAGTTCCAGTGAGGCACTTACTTTTCATGAGGTATTTAATATAAATAAAATTTATATAATAACTTTTGAAGGGAATAAATAATGAGGATATTCAAAGTCCAAGTCTTATTCAGCTATATAAAAAGAAGGAACCAAATGACCCATTTCACTTCATATTATTTAGTATGACAAATATTTTGATTAATTTCATAATTGCTGTAGGCCCATGTCAACCATGTACAAATAAATTTCAATATCCTGTTACTCACAAGAGGTTTTAAATAATATATAATTTTCATTAATTTTTACCCATCCATTATTTCTATACCAGTATTTATTTTTTTTACTTTTTAAACAGGAGCATGAATATAACCTATTATAGAAAGGTTAAAAGATGATTCCCTCAACCCCAGAAATTGGCTATCTTATAGCACCACTTTAGACAAAGTCCTTTGTCTATATTTTATTATGTTTGGTGGCCCTAAGTCCAATACTTTTTGGACTCAACTTGGAGTAAATGACTAGAAAAACATAAACGTGACTTAGAGAGACACGAATCATCTTCTATTCATAAGGATTGTGAATATGCAAACATGACTTGGCTTGCAAATAAGCGCATTCAAGATCATTTGCTATCAAATAAGCTTGATATAATCATGGAAAATCGTAATATAGTTCATAATATTATCGATGCCATTATGTACCTTATAAAATGTAATATAGCCTTTTGGGGTTCTAATTCGAATGAAGGAAATTTTATGTGCCTCATAAAATTAATGGCAAAAACTGTTTCAACTTTACGTGCATACATGGATAACAACAAAAAATTGCGGAGAAAAAAATCAGATAAAATTTCGAGACCTTATATAAATTTGCTGCCATATGGCCACGTGAAAAAAATAACTGAAATTATTAAAATAAAAATAACAAAAAGCATTATTCAAAAAATTAAAGAGAATCGTGCCTATAGCATCATATTAGATGGAACATATAGCATCATATTAGATGGAACATATGATGTGTCTAAAAAGAATGCATAGCTTTGCTTGTACGGTATATAGAAGATGATCTGCATCCACATCCTGTAGAAAGGATCATACATGTTTTTTACAACATCAGAAACCCTAGGAAAAATATAAATTAACATGTTTTTTCTAAGTTTAATGATCTTGGTCTTCCTCTTGATTATTTGGTTGGACAAAGTATGGATGGTTCAGGGGATATGAGAGGAGTATACAAAGGAATACAGGCTTTAATATTGAAAGAGGCTCCAAAAGCCATCTATATTTGGTGCCATGCACATAGGCTAAATTTAGTGGTTGCTCATGTTTGTGGATGCAAAATTGAAATGAAAAAGGCAATGAGAATATTAGATGAGTTATATAATTATATGAATGGAGTTAGACGTTAAGGTGTGTTTGTTAAATATCAAATGAGAAAGTCCAAGAAATTTCTTAAAAGAATTAAAAACACAATAAGGTAAATAAAATATTTATAATGAAATTATTATATTTTCAGAAGTTGGTGATCAGCTTACAAATCTGTAAAAATATTTTTAGATGTTTATGAACATATTTTAGCATCATTAGTTGAATTAAAAGATTCGAATGATCCTAGCACCTCTTCCATTGCCGATGGAATTATCTAGAATTAAGGATGAAAATTTTATATTAAGTCTATTTATTTTGAAAGAAATATTGAAATGTACACATGAGGCTTGTATTGAAATGCAGGCAGTTGGTAATGATTTTGGCTATGGTAACCAAATTAATACAACATACAAAAAATGAATTACAAAAACTAAAAGGTTAATATTAGTTACTATTTCTATAAATAATTTTAAAATATATCTAATGGAGACAATATTTTTTTAAAATTACATTCCTTATTCTGCTAGTTTTTTGAAGAAGAATAATGTAATAACTGATTTGTATAATATGAAATCAATATTCAAATTGGATCAAACAGAATTCAATAATTATGTTAACAAAAAAAACAAGTTGAATAAATTTAAAAATTTTAAATTATTATTTATTGTTATTCCCTGTGCTAAATGCAATAATTAACCACCTAAATGATCGATTTAACTATGATTGTTTAAATTTTTTATCACAAATATCCATTTTTACTCTTGCTGGAATTATGGATAATGAAAAAATAGAAGGATGGCAAATATCCGAAATTTGTCATACTTATCAATTGGATGCCCAAAACATTGTTGATGAATATAATGATTTCCGCTCTTTATATTTGGAGTCTCAATCAATCATTTTTTGCGAAGATCTTTTGAAAGTTAAAAAGAATGACGCGTTATATATTGATGAAATGAAAGTAATTTATTGATATTTTATTTGTAATTGTATTAATTAAAGGTATTGCAAACGATCAAACTACCGAAGAAAATATCAACAACGAAATCATGACCAAAATAAAAAAATGGATAAAATATTCTTTTATATTACCATACCGACTTTTAAATCAATTAAATTCTTATTCTAATTTAAATTTATTATACAAATATTTATTAACCCTTTCTACAACTTCCCGTTCAGCCGAAAAAGCTATGAATAAAGTAAAAATAAACAAAACTCGAATGCGGAATAAAATTTCGGACCCATTTTTAGAAAATTTACTGTTAATATCCAGCGAAATTGATGTTTTTGAAAAATTTACAATTGATGATATTATAACACAATTTGCATTAACATCTATAAAGTTATCCAATTTATTAATAAAATAAGTAATGTATCTTTTTCATAGCGAATATATTACGCTTTTTAAAAAATGTAAATTTAATTTAACATTTAACATTTTATAATTTTAATGCAAAATATACTATAATTCATTTTATTCTAATATTTTATATAATAGCTCTATTTACAATACATGTTTTTAATTTATTAAAAGGTAATATAGGTATTTGGAATCAAGCTAAATATACCTCTTTAAAATTACTCGTCTTATATTTTTTACAATGTTAGAAATAATTAATATGTTATCTCATTTAATACACTTATATATATTTTATGAAAATAAAGTGAATATCAACCAAATTATGAAAAGATTGCATTATTTAAATATAAGTTGATTATCACCAACAAATTTTTTAAAAATTTTTTCCCTAAATAGGCTTGAAAGATTGTAAATAGAATTATGTTGTAAGGTTATAAATGGTGTGGCTTATTATAAGATTTTTTAATTAAAATCACTATACCATCGTGGAGCGGCCGAAGGCCACGTGTTTTTTTAGGTGGGTATGGGTAGATTTTGGAGGGGGGGGTTTGCCTCCATCAATTTTTCTGCCATGTAGACTCTGCTTAGGGGGCTCAACTAAAAAATTCCCATTGGGGGTGAAGCCCTATATCTCCGGTTCTAATAGAGTTAAGAGTCTAATATTGGATTCCTCAATTAAAATACTTTATTAAGTTAAATACTAAATTTTAACAAAATCTGAAATGGTCGGGTTGTAAAGTGATTGATTTGACATGGAATGATCTATATATTATATAGTAAGGCTGCATTCAAAGTGGAGACGGATCCGTTTTTACATCCGTTCCGTCAAAAGTCAATCTCATTAAAAATGATATATATGTTCATAGTGCGTCCGTTCCAATACCTTAAGTCTTAAAAACGGATAAGGTAAATTTTAAAGTCAAAATATTCTTTTTGATCCGGCAAATTTTATAGAGCTTTATAACGTTACTTATAATTTACATATATATATCATTTTTAATGAGATTGACTTTTGACGAAACGGATGTAAAAAACGAATCCGTCTCCACTTTGAATGCAGCCTAAAAGTTGTAAAAAAATGAAAGGGTTAGAAAGTAAATTCGGTGTTTAAAAGAAAAGTAATTAATTATGGTGAATTGGTAAGATAGGAAATACACAGTGTGGCGATGATTTAATGAAACATGCTGAAGATTAAATTAAAACCCATCCAAATAAAAATATTTTGTTCGCAAAAATAATTAAACATTTGCAATTTATAAAAAGTTTAAAATAATCTTCTTAAATTTGTTTTTATGGCCGAGGTTTTTATAAAATTATTTTTTATTTTTAAACTGGAAGACTTTTTGAATAAGTTAAAAATAAACAATTTCTTTTTGGGAAAAACTTAAAGTCAAATTCAGGGATCCAAACCAAAACAAATATCGATTCGGTTCAGGTTCGGATAAAAATAACGGTTCAAGGTTCAGGTTTGGTTCGTAAATAAAATATCGGTTCGGTTCGAATCTCTAAAAACCGGTTTGAACATTTTTGTTACATTCGAATTATGGGGAGGTATATTTTTTTATTTCTTCATAAAATAAAAAACACATACATATAATATAACTTTCATTTTATTAATTGCACATTATAAAATAATATTTAAATTATAAATAATACAAATAAATATCAATGATTAATTTTCATATGAACAATATTTAACTTTATTTACTTAAAATTTTTTTATTAGGCCGCGCAATTAATATATTTTCAAGATTCGTCTTACTCAAATTACATCTATAAAAAGATGGTATAAATTTAATTGTTGAAAAACATCTTTCCACACTAATTTGGGTAGTTGGTACAGCCAGTATGATATCAAACAATTTACATAATTCTGGGCGTCGATTACTCTGATTTCTCCAATAGTTTAAAATATTCATAGTTTTATTTAATCTAGGTTCTTTACAAATATTGACAAAAATATTTATAATATTCTCCGATTTTTGTAACAGATTTTGTTTGATACCATCTTTTTTTTAAAAGAAGACTTTCTACTAAATCCTCTTCAGATGAAGATACATTAACCGGCATTGATTCACCTTCACTAGAATCCTCCACTCTTATAACAAACTTTATTCCATGTTATGCTATATTTTAATAATATGCTCTCTAGACTTGGTTTTTCTTCTTAGTCGGAAGCACTTGATATCTATATAATAAAAAAAATTAAAAATATTATTTAAAATTTTTTATTATTTTTTATGAATAGATAGAAAAATATATAAAGTAAAATAAAATTATGTTAAGGAAAATAAAATTATTAATAAAATTTATATGTTATAATATATTTTTAAAACATAGCTTAAATATAGATATAGGCATGACAAAAGGCATTGTTGTTTAAAAGTTGTTTCTCTCTAAAATTCATAACATCTATTATTGAACCAGCAAAGAGTGAGGTAAAATATAAATGTCTAATTTAACTTTTAGACATATGCCATTCCCCTAAGGTTATCTGCCTAAGTTGTAAGTTCTTGGTAGCTACTTTAATTGTTTTTAGGATATTTATCAACCTGTAATTGCTTCTCATTCCAAGGCTTTAAAATAAAGCTCAATTATGATACTGATAATTCCTCACACATATCTTTTAATTCATTCAATCTCTCCTGCATGTCATAGGTTGATAACAATCTATGACAATCCAATATAGATCTTTTTAAGTTAAATTTTTTTAGTATGATTGATATCGAATTTGTCTTCTTAGCTTCTTGGATGCAGCACGAGCTTTAATAATAATATTAGAAACTGAGCAATTTTTTAATGCATGATCTACTACTATGAGATGCACACAGTGGCGTAACCAGTATTTATCCATAGGAGGGGGAGGTTTAACCCCAAACCCTATTTTTAAATTTTGCTAATATTATGTGCTTCACTATTAATGTTGTAAAACGGCTCTTTTTGAGCCGATTTTAAAAACGACTAACTCAATATTTCATCCTGAATAATATTAAGCAAGCCTGAAGATTTTGTTTGTAGAAGGAACAAAGGTTTGAACATCTATTAGAAAATCTCAAGGCTTAGGCAATATTTTTCTGGCTAAAATATTGAGTTAGCCGTTTTTAAAAATCGGCTCAAAACGAGCAGTTTAACAACACTAAACTATAGTAGCCAGCATAAATGAAAGAATATTAGTAACAAAATTTTGGCCAAATTTATGATTAATAAGCGGCTGAAAACCTTATTCTAAAAATTTTATCAATGTTTAATAAATTGTAAATTAATCCATCCAGTGTAGAAAGAAGAAAAAAATTTGCCCACCAAACCTTCCATTTTTTATGATCACTCAATATATCTTATTGAGTGTTAAAAATAATTATTTTAATTAATTTTAGAGAATTTCATTATAGATTTTATTTATTGTTAAAATACTATAGTATAAATAACATCCCTTATTTATTTTAATGATTAAATTTTAAAATGTAGAAATTTTATACAGATTATTTTATTAAAAATTTATTGTATATAACTATATTTAAAAAAATATAATTCAATAAAATATAAGTAATTCTTGTACGGTATTTAAGAAAAAAATAATTTAACAATTTTAATTAATACAAATGAATCAAAATATAAATAATTCATATTGCAAATGCAATCTTCTTTATCATGCATATGGTCCCACAGTCGTCGGGTTTGTTTTGATAAGTTTCTTCCATCTTCATCGAGTAAGGGCCATGTCCGGATTCATCTTCTTAGTCATTAACTTTGTCTACTTGACCTTTCCACGTAACACGAGGTCGTCCTCTTCCTCTCCTCCCCGGCACCTCCATGTCCAATACTTTTCGATTTACATCATTCGTCTATATTCTTAGTATATGACCATACCACCTTAACCGATTTTCGTTTATCAAATCCGCCATAGGTTGAATACCCATTTTTGCTCTGAGACAGTCATTCGTCATATGGTCGAGTTTAGATTACCCCAAGCTCCACCGTATTATTTTCTTCTCCGTGGCTTGTAATAACTTTTCTTCTGTAGCGTTTAATACCCATGTTTCACTTCCATAGAGTAACACCGGTCTTACG